GATTCATCTCTTGTTTGAAAGCACGAGCCACTTCACACATCTTTCTTCTTTCTTCATCTTCCTTCTACGATCAATCTCTTGTTTGAAAGCACGAGTCAGTTCACACATTTTGAAAGCACGAGCCAGTTCACAATCTCTTGTGCTCGGACGGACTAAAACATATCTATTGCGAAGGGGGGCTTTTTCTCGGTGTGCAACATCTTCAGTTTTGTAATTAAAAAAACATTCTTGCGCCTTGGGTGAGCAATGTCCTCCAACACAAACAACTGCCACGCACCCACGACTCGCACAACAACTGCCACGCACCCACGACTCGCACACACAGAAACGACAAACAACCGCCATGGCCATCTCACCGCGAACCGTTTTTCACAGGGCACCGCTGTCTGACGACAACTCCCGAGGGCATACGCTGGTCTTCCATCGCGGGAGGGTGCACCAGCAGAGGGAGCGCCGGACGTTTACAGCACATGACCCCCACTTCCCGGACGGAAACAAAAATGACACAATGGTCCGGCGTCCCCGGCACGTGACCATGTGATGGTATGGTCCGGCGTCCCAGGGACGCCGGACCATGCGATGGTGTGGGCGGGGACGCCGGACCATGGGATGGTATGTCTGGCGTCCCGGGGACGCCAGACCATGTGATGGTATGGTCCGGCGTTCCGGGGACGCCGGGCTGCACGATAAGGAGGTTTCGGCGTAACCTCCCACGATGAAGGGCCATACCATCACAAGGTGGGCCGGGGTTTTGTGTGGCAGTGTGCGTTGATATGCTTGCATGATGACGAACATGAGTATGTTGTTTCCTTCCATGGTGTGTGCCGTGTCTCTCCGATGGCCACTACGGTGTCGGGGGTCGTTACTGTGCAGTTGGCTCTCCTATGTGCCTGTGTGCGTCGTCCGCCGTGGATATATCACCTTGCCCGGCGTCCTCGTGCCCCCGAACCATGTGTTAGTACGCCGTCCTCATGATGAAGGGTCATGTGGTGGCGTGGCCGCCCTCCGCTGATCTCCTCGTGGGATCCTCCCTCACATGCTATGACTCCTTGTCCGCCGCCCGCCATGGATATCACTCTTGGTCGGGCATCCTCAGTCCGTCAAACCATGTGTTGTTGCGGCGTCCTCATCATGAAGGATCCTGTGGTCGCGTGGACCATGCCTGTGTGTTTGTGGGCCATGATCTCCTCGTCGGGTCATACAACACATGCTCTGTGTCCGTGTCCGTGGATCCTTCNTGTGGTCGCGTGGACCATGCCTGTGTGTTTGTGGGCCATGATCTCCTCGTCGGGTCATACAACACATGCTCTGTGTCCGTGTCCGTGGATCCTTCATGGATAACACTCTTCGTCGGGCATCCTCGGGCCGTCAAACCATGTGTTGCTGCGGCGTCCTCATCATGAAGGATCTTGTGGTCGTGTAGACCATGCCTGTGTGTTTGTGGGCCATGATCTCCTTGTCGGGTCATACAACACATGCTCTGTGTCCGTGTCCGTGGATCCTTCATGGATAACACTCTTGGTCGGGCATCTTCGGGCCGTCTAACCATGTGTTGCTGCAGCGTCCTCATCATGAAGGATCCCGTGGTCGCGTGGACCATGGCTGTGTGTTTGTGGGCCATGATCTCCTCGTCGGGTCATACAACACATGCTTTGTGTCCGTGTTCGCCACCAGCCATGGATAACACTCTTGGATGGTATGGTCCGGCGTCCCGGGGAGGCCAGACCATGTGATGGTATGGTCCGGCGTTCCGGGGACGCCAGACCATGTGATGATATGTTCCGACGTCTCGGGGACACCAGGACGCACGATAAGGAGGTCCGGCGTAACCTCCCACGATGAAGGGCCATACCATCACAAGGTGGGCTGGGGTTTTGTGTGGCAGTGTGCGTTGATATGCTTGCATGCTGACGAACATGAGTATGTTGTTTCCTTCCATGGTGTGTGCTGTTTCTCCCCGATGGCCACTACGGTGTTGGGGGTCGTTACTGTGCAGTTGGCTCTCCTTTGTGCCTGTGTGCGTCGTCCGCCGTAGATATATCACATTGCCCGGCGTCCTCCTGCCCCTGAACCATGTGTTAGTACGCCGTCCTCATGATGAAGGGTCATGTGGTGGCGTGGCCGCCCTCCGCCGATCTCCTCGTGGGATCCTCCTTCACATGCTATGACTCCGTGTCCGCCGCCCACCATGGATAACACTCTTGGTCGGGCATCCTCGGGCCGTCAAACCATGTGTTGCTGCGGTGTCCTCATCATGAAGGATCCTGTGGTCACGTGGACCATGCCTGTGTGTTTGTGGGCCATGATCTCCTCATCGGGTCATACAACACATGCTCTGTGTCCGTGTCCACCGCCCGCCGTGGATACGACACATGGTCTGGTGTCCTCGTGCCGCCAAACCATGTGCTTGCGGCCATGCTCCCTTCGTGGGCTCGTCCATCACACTATATGTGTGCGTGTCCTTGGATAAGAAACATGGTACCGCGTCGTCCTGTTGTCGGACCATGTGCAACTGCAGCGCTCCGAGGACTAGAGGATCATGTGGCGCCGAAGAGATCTGTTCGTGCCTAACACGAGGACATTCCATTACACATGGTGATATACGTTCTGTTGCTCACTATCTGGTTTGCTCCTCAACATGTGGGGCATAACATTCGTCACTGCCTGGTTGTTTGGGGGCTCCTTGTCGATGGTATGTGCTGAGGGTTGTTGTGTTCATCGGTGGTTGTGTGGGGTTTGTATCTTGTGCCATGCTGGTGGCGGACCATCTGCAGGCTGCTAGCACACCTCCCTCGATGTAAAGGAATCCCGACTTTGAACAGCCAGAACACTGTGGTCTCTCTGTTGTCGTTGGCGTGCGTTAGCGGAACTTTATTAGATGCTTGTCAAGGAAGAGGTTGTATCACTTTGTCCATTGACAGTGCTTCCGGATGCCTTGCAGAAACAATGCACACACCGAATATGCAGAGCGAGATGGGGAGTTGCCCTTCCGAGTCCCACCCGTCTGCTGCGTATCCTAAGGCGCATACGGCACAGCGGATCGTCTGCAGCAGTGAGAGTCAGTCTCCCCCATCGACGCAACTTGAGGGCGGTGAGAAGTCCTCAGTTCGTTGCATTCGTGATCCCAGAAAGAGAAGTGTAGTTCACCCATGTAGCAGCAACCCCTGTAACACGGTGGTCCGACGCTTGAACTTGAGGATATAATCAAGGGGGTCACGTATGTCAATTCTTCTTATCCGTTAAGTGGCCCGTCTATCAAGTGTGAACCACGTGGGGTCGAGCGCAGTGAACAGGACTCGTATGACCAGCCCACTTCGCAAGAAGAAAATGTCAGCGACGATGGCCACTGCCATGCGGATGTGTCTTCCGCAGACGATATGTGGCTGCCTGATGACGGCAATAGT